GGGTTCACCTTGATTTGGACTCTCTGTTCTTCCTGAACTTGTGTGACAGTTTCCTTCACCAGATTAGGGAATTTTCTGTTATTATTGTTTCAATCAAGTTCTCTATCCCTTGCTTACTTTCTTCTCCCTCTAGTACCACTCTGATGCAGATGTTGTTCCATTTCATGTTGTTCTGATGTTCCCTTAAATGGTCCTCATGCTTTTTAAGTATATAGGTTTTTTGCTGCTCTAATTCATTAATTTTTTTTAACCTTGTCTTCTAATTATCTGATCCTCTACTTCTTCTAACATACTGTTACTTCCTTCCAGGGTATGTTTTATTTTTGTATTTGTTAATCCTCACCCAAGGATATATTTTCCATTTATTTTTAGAGAGAGTGGAAGGGAGGGATGGAGGGAGTGACAGAGAGAGTGAGAGAGAAAATTTTATGTGAGACACATCGAATGGTTGTCTTCTGTACATGCCCCAACTGGGGCCAGAGATCGAACCTACAACCCAGGTACGTGCCCTTGATGGGAAATTGAACCCATGGCCCTTCAGTACATGGGCTAACTCTTCAACCACTGAGTCACATAGGCCAGAGCCAGGATATTCTTTATTTCAGCTATGTCATTCTTCATTTCTGACTAGTTATTTTCTATGGTTTCTGTATCCTTTTTCATGCTCTTGAGAATTCTAATGGCCATTACTTTATACTTGGTTTCCCATAAATTGCTGGCCTCTATTTTATTTAGCTTTTTTTTCATTTGGGGCCTGTTTCTTTGTTTCCCCATTTTTGCTGTTTTTTGTGTGTGTGTTTGTTTCTGTGTATTGAATAAGACTGCTATGCCTCCCAGTCTTGGTGGGGTGACCCAGTAGTGTAGTCTCCTTGACCTTCTGAGCTGAGTGCTCTAGGAATGTCCTTTGTGTATGTTATGTGGGCCCATCTGTTGTATTTGGGTTTTGATTGCTGTTGTCCCATTTGTGGTTGGACTCAGCCCTCGGGTTGGCTGACTGTGAGGCTCAACCCCGACCACATTGTGAAAACTATCATATAGGTGCTGACAGAACTAAACATGACAAAATAAGATCAAACCAAAAACCACACACAAAAATAACAACAGTAACAAGAACAAAAACCACAACAGAAATACTGAAGGAAAAAAAAAGTCTAAAAGACACAAGACCAAAAGAATTTGAAGAGATAAAAAAAAAGAAATAAAAAAAGAGAATATGAAGGAAAAGAAATAGAATAAGAATAAATAAGAAAAGAAAATACAAATGAAATAATAATTTTAAAACTAATAATAATGAATAAAATATAGAATAGGAAAAGAAATGGGAATAGAAAAGAAAATAAATTAAATAAATTAAAATTTAAAAAAAGAAAAGAGATAGAGAAAAAATAATAGATCAAAAGAGAAGAGAGAAATAAGAGATATAAAAGAAAAAATGGAAGAAGGAAAAACAAGAAAAAAAGTTTGGATCCGCTATTTGTGGAACTCACTGGATTTTTGCTCCAATGTTGTTAAATTTAGTCCCTTGGTGTGTTGGACCTGAGCCTCCTGGGAGGTTCTCTGATGCAAGCCGATGTGTATCCCTGTCCCTGCCTGGACCTGGGCAATCTGACTGAAGCACAGTTGGGTGGAGTCCAGTGAGCAGGGACTCCATAGCCCAGAGGCTGGGTCTGCCTCAGTTCCCACACCTTGAATGTCCTTGTTCTCATCTGCTCTCTTGCCCCCAGAACTGAGCCATGTGCAGGTAATCAGGTCCTGTCCAGGATGGTTTAAATAGACTAGCATTGGAGGTAGTGCCTATAGCTTGTAGGAGGGTGGAGCAGGCACTTCCTCTCTTTCCAAAGCCTCAGTTCTGTCTGGCTCACTGGCAACCCCATGTCACCACCCCAAGCAAGAGGACATAAGAAAAAAAAGTAAAAATCAGCCCCCTTGGCATTCCAATCTTTTAGCACAGCTAGCCCCTGAAGGGTGGGGCCTCTGCCCAGCCTCCCACCAGGCCAAATATCCAAGTACCTCCCACTGTTAGACACAGCTGGACAGGCTCAGGTTTCCAGCCCAGACCTGTGCCCCCTTGCCTTGGGCTGCATCCAGGCAAGGCAGAACCAGCCTTTCCACAGGTATGGGATGGGATGCCTCCCCTGCCCTTGAGGTGGAGAGGACTGATCCTCTTTCTTGGGGCACACTATCCAGCCCCCATCCTTCTTTCTGCCAAAAGTTCTTCCAAAGTATAAAGGGCCCCTCAGATTCACTGCTGAGTGTATAGGTCAGAACCCTCTGCAGTTCCCGAGTTCCATCACATGGCCCCTCCCACAGAAACCAATAGGGACAAACTTCCCACGCTGGTGTTGTAACAAAGCAATTTCTCTTTGCCTGCAAAGGTGCAGTCTGAGTCTCTCAGGTGGATCCAGTTACCACTGATTTCTAGCACCCAATGTTATGATGCTATGTGGGCTCCCCTTCCTTTCTTTGTTGTTCTGGATTGGGATCCCTATACAGGGCTGAGACTCTACCCTACCAGAGGGCATGAGCTGCACTGCCACACCTTCCCTTTGGCTTCCCTCTCCACTCTCCATATTTCCTCCTGTCCCCTTTATGTTCTCCCCACTCATAATATTTCAGATAAGCTATCCTTCAACTGTTTTGCTCTGTAGTCCTGCTGCAGGTCCAATCCAAGCAGACGGAGCTTCCCGCTAGTCTGCAGCCATCTTGGAACCCCCATTTATCCTTTATTGTGTTTTCTATTAAGGTCTCTTCTGAAATAGAACATCATATCTAAATGTTACGTTATGTCAATCTATGATCCAGGATGTGACTTTAAGTGACACTGAAACTCCAGTGACAGCTTGTAAATGAAAAATAATAAACCTCACCTCGTCAGTACATTGTGAGGATATTCTTGTTTTGTAATGACCCCTCTACACTATCTCAAAGGTTTGTGAGGAAGTCAGTATACATCTTTGTTAAAAACCAAAACCTTTGTATATTCTGAAATCTTCCTTTCAATTATGAATTACTCTTTATAATAATAATTCAAGACAAGTCAATACCCATACTTGTAATTCAGTGAAAAGTACTGTGTTGTTTTGGTTTTGTTTGATTTGGTTTGTTTTAGAAATATCAGAACTCAGAACTCATCATGGACACATCTAGGTCATTTGTTTCAGATGGAAATGCTTGAAGAAAGCCAAATAAGTTGACCCATACAGCCCTTGCCAGATGGCTATCTGAATGATGGACATAATGCCTCAAAAGAAATAAACATTTCCTGAGGTGGAACAGCCTTTACAAACTTAAACTTCCATGGTAATGACAATGCCATTCTCCTGTTTGCCAATTTTTGGCCCAGGAGCTGGAGGATCATGAGTACAGTGCTGATTGTAAGAGAGAGAGAAGAGTGGCTACTGAAGGATTTACAAAGATCAGCATAAAGTCCTTAGGCCAATTCGTCCAGACTATAGGCATGAGAGACTCTCAAATACACTGAAGTTTAGGACAATTCTAACTGCCCCTGAATATTATTAATTCAGCTGGGGGAGTGAGCCAAACATAATTTCCATAGACCAAGTCATCTGAGCCCTAAAGCTAAAACAACTGAAGTTTCATATCATCTGTGAGAATAAAACTCATTTTGCTTTTTAACATTATTTCCAGTATGTTTCCACCATGCTCAAATTTAGGTTTTTCAAGGGCAACAGGTAAAATTGAACAAATTTAAGAACTTCTTAACCATGTAGATGGCTGAAGACTGAAGAAAATTATAAAACTCGCACAGCAAGAGAGAAAGATCATGAGAAAACACAAAGTCCTTCACCTGGTCCATCACCAGTTTTTTCACTCTCTTATCCCACAAATAGGAATAATACTGGTTACTGTTGATTTAATTAATGAGACTTATACTGGACTTTTGAATTTTTAATAAATATAAATAAATGCTATAGTCTGTTAGGTCAAGACTATAGAAGTCATGTCAGAAGGTATCAGACTACTTGGTTAGATATGTATACTACTGGTGTTTTGTAGATAATTTTAAATAGTACATAGACAACCTTTTTGCTTTTTTGTTTTATTTTTTATCCTCACCTAAGGACATTTTTTTGCATTTATCTTCAGAGAGAACAGGAGGGAGAGAGTGAGGAAGAGAGAAAGAGAAACATCGATGTGAGAGAGACACATTGACTGGTTGCCACCCACACGACCCCAACCAACCAGGGACAAACTGCAACCAAGGTACGCGCCTTTAGCAGGAACCAAACCCAGGATTCTCTGGTCCGCGGGCCGATACTCCAACCACTGAGCCAAACCAGCCAGGGCCACAACCTTTATTGTTTTTAACATTATCTAACACATCAAGCCCATGATGCCAAAAAACATAATGTTTAAGATAATGATAAAATGGATATTTAAATTTCAGAGAGTCAATTTAAAGAAAAACTGTAAGCATTTAATAATAAAAGTGGTTAATATATTGCAGATATTAGAAAAGTAGTACAAAAATGACCAAATTTAAGCTAAAGGAAAACTGACATTTATTAAATTTTAAGCCTTAAGAGAACAACAGATATATTGATAACCTGAATTCATTGACTCTTTAGAGTCAAGTAATGAAATATTCCTTATGTTTAGTCTGTACATAATGAATCAATGCTTTTGAGCTGCCAGGGAGCCTACTATTCAAATTGGCAAATGACTTAGAAGGGAAAGATTTTAATTTGGAGCAAAAACTGGCACTTGATTTGAAAGACAGAAGGAAGAAAAGCCTTTGGGAGGGGTTGGGAGAGAGAGAAAATGCATTTGACTTGTTAACAGTTTCTAAAACTCCTTGTTTTAGGTAAGTTCAAATGCTTTATTTAACTTGGTGAGGGTTTCTTTTAGTTTAGGACTAGATGTGTAATTAATCTGTGCCTAAGATATAAAAATACTTTATCTTTGTCTCAGAAAGATAGAAATATGCAAGGTGAACTTATGTTTTATTCACTCACACTAACAAAAGAATGTAGTGTTACCTGGAACAATAGAAATCAGTGGGGAGTGGCAAGGACCCAGAGCATACAAGGTTTTCCTCCAGATTTCCTGCAGAATACATTCTCTTGAATGTGTGTTTTACTGGAGAGAGAGTAAAAAGAAAAAAAAAAAAGTCTTTTAGCATTGTTTAAAAAAAATATATTCCAAATAGAACCAGATGTATTGTTATATCTTTGAGGCTGTGTCTTGACATAATGAAACAGTAGACCAAGGGGAGTTTGTATTTCTTCTACTCATCTTGATTAAGCACTGATTTAGATGTCTAATTATAAGGATTTACTGTCAGTACTGACAGTGTTAAGTATTTCCTCAATGATGCCCCTCCCAGAAATATATAGAACACACACACATCACATCACATTCTATCTAAAGATGTATATATAAATATAGATATATAAATATATCTTAAAAATTCACAATAGTTAAATATCTTTAGATTCCTGAGCGCTTTAAAATTTTTTTAATTTTCCAAACATTTTGGCATCAGTCATTTCAAACACAGTTTATAATCATTCAAAGAGGGTAGGAAGCATGAGAACCTGGTATCACTTTACTAAGCAAATTAAACTCATTTCCTTTTTAGATACAGTTGCTATACTAGCAGATTGATGAAATGGTATAGATCTGATATATATGGATTTTAGCAAGTCATTTTACAATTTCTCTAGTAATGTCCTTGTGAACAAAGTGGTAAAATATGGAATGAATCATAGTACAGTGAGATATGGAACATATTGAACAGATAGATATACCCATGAACTGCTGATAAATGGACCTCTATTAAGCAAGGAGAGGATAGTTGCACCACACTGAGCATTTGCCAAACCATGATATTGGGGCAGAAATAAGTGGTCACAGAAGAGTACCAGGATGATGAAGGGCAGTCAAAGTCATATCATATGAAAACCAGTTAAAGCAATCGAGGCTATATCACATGGAGAAGGTTTATGCAGAATATGAGTACAGACATCACAAAATTGAAGGGCCATTAGATTGAATATTAGAACTTATTCAGTGTGTCTGCAAAAGGCAGGTTAAAGACTAGGGAGATAGTGAGTTTCCTGTCTTGAGGCTGGACTGGATGAGTGTTTGTCAGATGTTAGAGAAGATGTCGAGTGAGAGACAAGGTTAGATGGTCTTTACAGCTTCCCCAACTCTAACAGTATATGAGCCATTAGTTTATTCATTCATTCATTCCACAAATATTTCCTGAGCTCCTAAGTGCCAGCCACCATTCTAGGCACTAGAGAAACAGTGGAGAATATGACAGATTTTCTGTCCTAATAAGATTACTTCTATTGGAGGAAACAGGCAATAAGTGAGAAGACAAGTAAATAATTAAGATAATGTCAGGGCCCAGCAGGTGTGGCTCAGTGGTTGAGCATCTACCCAGGCACCAAGAGGTCACTGGACCAATTCCTGGTCAGGGCACATGCCTAGGTTGTGGGCTTGACCTCCAGTAGAGGGTGTTCAGGAGGCAGCCAGTCAATGTTTCTCTCTCATTGATCTTTCTATCTCTCCCTTCCTCTCTCTCTAAAGAATAAAATAAAAACATTTTTAAAAAGATAACATCAGATAGTGAAAATGATAGAAAGAAAATAACATCTTTAAACCATTTGCTCCTTACAACCACTGGAACTGAGATCTTTTGATTTAGAGACCAGTACCATGCCTATTAAATTGATTTTCTCAAAGAGTTCAGGTTTTGGATTTGTCAGACTAGACTGAGAGAATTAAACTAACATTGATGATTCCCTCTAAACAATATTACAGGATTCTCATAAAAGGTGGAATTAACAGTGTGAGATTTAGAATCAGAGAAAAACCATGCTTATTTTACTCCTAACCCAGTAACTCCAGAAGAACATGGGTTTAAGAATCATAATATAAATAAGGAGCAAAATGCAGGCTAGTTCATGCTCTCCAATCACTATTATAAATGATCATTCCACAGACATTGTATGGAACAGAGAACAAAATAAATGAGGCCTTCCTAAGCATGCAAAGGTCAGTCAGAGACAAAACTGTTAAGCAGTTTTTATTTCCTCTGTTGTAGAAATAGGAAAGGGCATCTTTGCCAGACCCTTCAAGTCATACCATCAACTCTACCATGTGACAAATCTCTACATTTTAAATATATCTGTCTCAGATACCATGCTGCAAGTCCACATAAGATACGGGGGTAGCAAAATAGCAACCTGCAGAATTGGATGCAATATAGTCTGATATATGCCTCTACTTGTGATAGTCATCCACTCACCCTGATGCCCAGAGACATTTGAGATGTGAAAAGACAAACGAAAGGAAGAATTTTTTCGGGGAGGCAGATGAGGCCAAAATTAAACTATAAAATAAATTGGAAATAGCCACCCTTCTCTGGCCTAGTCAGTGAAATGCAAAGCAGAACCTAAGCCCCACTGGTCACCCCCATTCCCTTGGGTGGTGAGTCAAAATGAAACATCACCTGATGCAGAAAACAAAGTCAAGTTTAGGCAAGCCTAGAGAGGCATTGCCAAAAAAGGGAAGGGTAAAAATAAATAGCCAGATGAATTTTCAAAAAGGCAAACAACCAAAACAAATATACAAATACAAAAGATTATTTAAAAGAATAATAGCAAATGTCCCAATTCTGACTGAGACACAGGAATGGTTACCACATGGGGTGCGTGGTCCTGTTTGTCAAACCCTTTAGTATTCATGTAAATCACCATGAGTCCAGGTCACTTACAAGTAATGATTTCTGGGGAGGGAAGAGTCTGGGCAGGGCTAATGTCTCCAGGGTGCGTAAATTGTTTTCAACTCCTAGTTCCTGAGCACTAAACTAGAGCGACAACTGCTCACTGTTGACTCCCTATTGATACAGGACAGAAATCTTGCCTCAGCAGGGGCAACTGACTGGGGCTTTGGGGATTATTCTTTACGCGGCTGGTCTTTGATTGTGTAATCTGCAAAATGTTACTATCTTTGTGCTCCTCTGGTTTCCAAGGCCTTTTACCCTTTCTGGTGGCTCCTACCGCTAAACCAGTGCTTTCCTACTGACGTGTCAGTGACTTCATAGAATGCCCACCCAGGGCCCTCTCTTCCAGGACTTAGTAAAAGATCTGTATTAGTTTCCTAGGACTGCCATAACATAATTGAAATAAATTGACAAATTTATTTTCTCAAAGTTCTAAAGGCCTCTAGTCCAAAATCGAGGTGTCTGCAAAACCATGCTACCCTCTGAAGTCTCTAGGGAGGAATGCTTCCTTGCCTCTTCCAGCTTTTGGTGGCTCCTGGCATTCCTTGGTTTATTATTGCATGATTCCAATCTCTGCCTCCACCTTCACATGGACTTCTTCCCTGTGTGTGCTTCTGTATGTTCACATGGTCTTCTTCTCTGGACACTAGTCACTAGATTTAGGGCCCCACTTTATCCAATATAAACTCATCTTAACTAATTATATATGCAAATGCCATATTTCCAAATAAGATCACATTCTGAGGTTCTGGTACATAGACAAAAGTAATACACAAACTTTGGGAGGACACTATACAACCCCATATAGAGGTAATATTTAATAAAAAGAATATATTTTTCTTCCTGAGACAGGAATAATAATAAATGTAGAATGGCAAATTTTCAGACAATAGAACTAAGGTAAAAGAGACAGTTCAGGAAACAGGCTAGACATTCAAAGGCCCACATAAACAGAAGCCCATGTGAAACTGCATCATTGCTTATCACCCCCTGGCATGACCCTTGCTCTTACGTGCTGGGGAGAGGGGAGGGGTGGTCAGGGTAAGGATGGAAACACTGTACTTTAAGTTATCTAAACACTTATCATTTGGCATGTGGTCTTCTCCTAAGCTGCCTGGCTGATTCCACTACTTGATTTTTATGAGTGTCAGAATATCCTTTTGTTAAAACAAATCTCATTTTTATTACCTAGTTCAAACAAATGAAGTGGTTGGAAATGTGTTATGTGCAAGCTACGGGCCCTAATAAAATTCACTTCCTGGCAGGAAGAAAAAGGGTGGAGAGTGAAGAGTGGTGAGGGGCTCAAGAAAAATATTGCAAGAGCAGCAGTGTTGTAGTGATGCTATTTCATTTACATATAGTAGGAGTCTTAAAAAGTATGAATAATAAATGGTGACGAAAGGAGACTTGATTTGGGGTGGTAAATACACAATATACGGATAATATAATATAGAATTGTAAAAAAATAAATAAATAAATTGAAGAAAAAAAGGCACATATATCCCTTCTGAAGCAGACAAATATACTGCTTGAGTTGATTTATTGGGGGGGGGGTATACACAGCAAATTAAAGGTTTAGTTATTCTGTAAGTGTTAAGCTTTTGGAAATACAGCAATTATTTTATGCATCTTCATTTCTAACTTAGTGGATACTTAAAGATTCTGGGACTGAAAATGGCAGGCCCCACTCTCCAGCATGTTGGTACTATTTATACACACACACACACACACACACACACACACAATTGTATTTAGGCTTGGGTGTTAGGATCCCAACTTTGGCACTTTCTAGTAATGTGTCCTTGTGCAACCTCCCAGGGCACAACAACATATTTTACAGAGGAAGAAACTGAGGTCTATTCTGAGTCAAATGAGCTCAAAATATAAAGCATGGACTGTCTCAATAAGCAGAATTAGTTGTATGCTAAAATCTCTCTTCTACTCTTCTGTTGCTCTCACATACCATTATCCAGGAGTCATCTTGGGGTTAAACACTGAATATTATTTTCTGAGCATCCCTTTAAAATGTAAGTTCTCCCTTGAAGAGAAGCAGAGAAAATCACTGACTTACATTAGTGAGGATGAGTTTGTGTTGGGCAGAATACCAGGGGTTAAATCTATTACCTAGGGGGAAGTTTTCCAAAAGCAGGTAGGCAGAATAGAGGACAAACTGCTACAGGCAGACCCTGCTACCAATTTCTCAGAACCTAGAGGGAGTTAAGTTTTTTTTTGTTGTTTTTTGTTTGTTTGTTTGTTTTTACCATCAGTTCACTCTCTAGCCTTCACATAATCTACTTAACTTTATGAAATTTGTCCTGACCTTCTTGAGAACCTTTGGGAAAGC